TGAGGTGAGAAGTTCTGCTGCTGCTGCTGCTGCTGCTGCTGCTGCTGCTGCTGTTGCTGCTGCTGCTGCTCATGGACATGCATTGTCTCCTTCGTGTCTTCAAAGGGAACGCAGTTTCATCTGCTGCTGCATTCTAGGGCTGTGCATCTCACACACAAACAACTGCTTCGAGCTGCTGCTGCTGCTGCTCCTGTTGCTGTTGCTGCTGCTGCTGCTGCTGCTGCTATCACTGACTGCTGCGGCTGTTGCTGAGCATAGCAGCAGGAGGCTCTGTTGTTGCTGCTCTCTCTGCTGCTGCTGTTGTTGCTGCGGACAGCAGCAACAGGAAGGGTGCTCCGGTAGTCGCTGCTGCTGCTGTTGCTGCTGCCGCTGTTGCTGCTGCTGTGGCTGTTGCTGCTGCTCCTAAGCAGGAGCAGCAGCAGCTGGAGAAGGTGGTGTTGCTGCTGCTGTTGCTGCTGCTGAGCTGCAGCAACAGAGAGAAGGGGCAGCAGCAAGACAGACAGTTTGTGGGGTTATATTAAACAATAGAAATCCTCTTCTTAGCAGCAAACTAAACCTCTCAATCTTTCACTTCTGCTGCTGCTGCTGCTGCTGCTGTGTCTGCTGCTGTTGCTGCCCCTCCTCTCCCTCCTTCTATTGCTCTGCCGCTGCTGCTGTTGCTGCTGCTGCTGCTGCTGCTGCTGCTGCTGCTGCTGGTGTTTGTTGTTCAGATGGCCTGCAGCATCCGGGAGGCGGACGCGAAGTGCCTGTTGTTGTATGGGCTGAGTTATGAGGGTTATATAAAGAAGAAGAAGGAGGAGGATGGTGGGGTTGTTGTTGGTGGTGATTTGGGGTGTATATACACTGGAGAATGTGTGTTAGTTAGCTCTGCTAGTGGGCCCCTAGATAAGCTACCTTCTTTGTTTCCTTGGTTGCTTGAGGGCCCCCTAGTGATGAAGCCAGATGTATTACTAAAAAGAAGAGGGAAACAGGGGTTGGTGTTGTTGGGGGTTACGTGGGCTGAGGTGTATAGGCAGCTGCAGCAGCAGCTAGATAGAGTGTATACTAGCGAGAATATAGAAGGACGTTTGACTCATTTTTTAATTGAACCTTTTTATAAAAATGAAGAAAAAGAAGAATATTATATTGCTATGAGGACAACACCAAAAGGAGACGAAATAATATTTAGTGATAGGGGGGGGGTTAATATAAACCTAGAAGATAAAAACACAAAACAAATCCTCATTCCGGTGTATCCTTTACGTTTTTGTACAAAAAAAACTGAAACTAATAATATAAATAATAAAGAAAATGATTATCTTATTCATTATAATGAAACTATAAATGAAAAAACTTTTATTTCTCTTTTTGAGGGGGTTAAGGATGAAGAAGTGCGCGCGTTGCTGCCTAGGTTTCTGCGGTGTATATACACCCGGTTCTGTAGTTTACATTTTTCTTTTTTCGAAATAAACCCTTTTATTTATGATAAATATAAAAAACAATTTATTATTCTCGATGCTGCAGCAAAAATAGATAAAGCCAGCGAGTTTCTCTCTCCTGTTGCGTGGGAGGGTCTACAAATACCTAACCCTTTTGGGCGAGAACTCACAAAAGAAGAATTATATATCAGGTTGGGTTTTATTTTATTTTATTTTATTTTATTTATTTTTTTTTTTTTTGTTTGTTTGGTTGGGTGGG